GCCGCCCTGGCCTCTGTCGTCAACAATCAGAGTCTGCTCATCGCCCGCCTGGAGAGGCACTGCCTGCCCGCTGTTGACGACCCGACTCCAGAGGTAGGGGGCGCTACTGAGCTTCAGACCATAAATGAAAATATTTCTCCCAACACTGTGATTAGAACTCGATGGGTCTCGACTGGGTTTTCCAGTTCTAAACCCGCTTTTCTTATTTGTCTGCCAGTTAATTGTTTGAGAATAAAGGACATATTTTATTGATGATGGAGGTAAGGCTCCAGTTGCCTAACAGATCAACAGTTGCATAACAGAACATTTCAGCCTGATATGCTGTAAATGCTGAAATAATCAATTGCTTTTATATCCATCCTGGTTCATGCATAAAATTAAGTATTACAGGGTTAAGAGGTATTTTAAAGAATATACAGTAAGTATATAATATAACAAAGGTGGCCAAGCCTAATCCCAGGGAGTCACAAACCTATCACAAATATCTAAGATTTGACCACTGAAGAGCATATTTTTAGTGGGAGGAACCCCCCACTGCAGCCACAGTGAGAACTCTATCCACTCTCTATCCACACAGATAGACATCCAGTGTCCAGAATTGTACCCAAGGCCCCTGAGCAGCGAGGCAGCGATGCTAACCAATGTGGCATCCTGTCACCCTGGGCCAGCTCCATGAGGCATTTCAATCACAGCTATTTGAAAGCTAGCTGTTTTGTCCTGGCTCTCACGCCTTGTCCCTTGTCCTACAGAAGAGCTCGGTGCTGCCCCCGCAGGTCACAGTGGTGCCCGCTTCCCCATCCGGAGCCTGGAACAGCAGCAAGGAGCAGCGAGACATCCAGAGAGACCAGAGCCCCACCCTGACCCAGGAGGGGAGCCCATGGAGGACACGAGCGACCCCACCCTCTGCTGGTGCGCCCCCCAGCCCCCCCACAGACAGGCCCTACATCAGCTATCCCATCACGAAAACTCCAGGTACAGCACAGTCATGCCCGCTATCCCATCTTGGTCCTGTTATAGGCCTGTTTGGACCACTCCTCAGGGCCATTCCCCTGCTGGTTCCATCTTGCTACTACTGAGCTTCTTAGCTCGTAGAAATGGGAGAATGCAGCGCAGTGGTTAATTATAGTAAAGGCTAAAAGGGCCTAGGGAGAAACACTTAGGGTGACCCGAAGAGATCTGTGGCATGTGGATTACTCAAAATCTTGTGACTGAATGTGAAAAACAAGCAGCAGCAGCAGCAGCAGCAACAAAGCAGGGGACGCCCCTTCTTAGTGAACTCTGTGGCCAGACTGGAGGCCGGTTCCCAAACTGTCGATTGTCAGAGTGAAAGCAGGCTCTTCGTTCCCTGACCTGTGATTATACAGGCTGTGGTGAGAAAGAGGGTCTGGTTTAGGCTTGGGAAAGCATAAACACACCGGCTATTCCCATGAGCAAAGAAGGGGTGGCTGGGAATTCCAGCAGTAGATGGCCTGTTAATTGCTTTGGTAACTTACTCAGTATGACCTGAGACCTCTGACACAAGCTGGGTGCTATTCAATCAGTCAGAACTGCAGTTGTCTCTCTCCTATCTCATTGTGTATCCCAGGGCATCGTTATCTACAGTCCCAGTACCCCCACAGCACTGCATATCCACTGCAGAAACAATATCTTTCTTGTAACATGGTGACCAAGCCTGTGCACAACATTCCAAATGAGTACTTATTAGCACATTGTACAATTTTAACATGACATGCCCTGGTTTAAATCTACACTTTTATGTATCTATACCCTCTTTTTGCCTTTTTCATGGCTTTAACACAATGTTGTTACATAGAGGACAAAAGTAGTTTGAATGTTAAGTAAAGTCTTTTTCAAGCTCATTGTGTCTTGTCTGATATTTATTGACGTATGTTTTTGCTTTGTTAAACCCAATGAATCCAAAAAGCATTGCAGGATATATGATGCATACATCATGGAAAATGCTTTTGTAAGGAAGAACAAAATGTCTTTGGAACTGTGAGTGATTGTCTCTCCTCTTGTCCTCCGCAGGGCCTTGGCGTGACTGTCAACACGTCCTGGAGTCTGGCGAGACGACGAGTGGGATCTACCTGCTGCGGCCTCTCGACACTAACCACCTGGTGCAGGTGTGGTGCGAGCAGAGCCATGCCCAGGGGGGGTGGACTGTCATCCAGCGAAGACAGGATGGCTCGGTCAACTTCTTCCGCACTTGGGAGCAGTATAAGGTGAGGGTCTGTCCATGAGCAGTGTCTGATTGTCTGTGTTAATCAGTATTTTAGAAAATAAATCGTCTGGGTCTTTTGAAAAGAGAAGAGAAGCTTCCACACAGTAAAGTCACTTTCTTGGAGTGGCAGTGTGTGATTAAGACATCATGAGCTGGTGACTCATAGAGGTCACTGACTGTGACCAGGCAGATGGGATTAGTCAGCCAGGCTCTCTCAACTGCTGGCTGGCAGTGACATCACAGACAGTCTCACTGCTCCTCCAATTTGCTCCCTCTCCTGTCAGGTACTGTGGAGCTCCCAGCTTCTTGAAGGGTGAACAGCCTTGACAGGGGGTGTGCGAGAGAGGCTTATGCCATCCTCTTCCAGACCATGCTAGTGAGCCGAGCTTAAAATGATTTCAATTGTTTGCAGCCACCAGGTCTTCTTTAGCTTAACCCCACACCTCAAGGTCTCCTTTTCTCAGATATGTTTCATGAAATGCTAACACCACCTGCCTGCCTCCCCCTTTGTGTGATCCAGCAAGGTTTCGGGAACCTGGGCGGGGAGTACTGGCTGGGGCTGGAGCACCTGTACTGGCTGACCGCTCAGGACGACTACCGGCTGCGCGTGACACTGGAGGACTGGCAGGGCCGGCAGGTCTACGCCGAGTACGACAGCTTCCGCCTGGAGCCGGAGACCGACTGGTACCGCCTGCGGCTGGGCAGCTACCAAGGCGACGCGGGCGACTCCCTCTCCTGGCACAACAACAAGGCCTTTACCACTCTGGACCGCGACCGTGACGCTTACACTGGTGAGGCTGGCTCTTACACTGTCTGGGGCTATGGTTTGACTTCCTAGCAAGCCGAGCCAAGAACCAGCATCCCACCCAGAAAAACAGCAGCACAATGTGGATGTGATTTTTTCCCCTTCTGTCTTTGGTGGGATGAGCCATCAGATAGAGAACCAGAGCTCAGGCTCGTACAATTAGGACTCCAGTATCACACACCAGTCGGGCAGGAGGCTGACGTTATGTTGAAGTGCAGCAGGAAAACCTGAGCTGGTTTGCTGTGATTTGGGGGAGTGCAGTAGCCGTCCATCCGTACACATTAAGAACATAAAAAAAGAGAAAGATTGAGAAAAATTACAAACGAGTCGAGGCCATTCATCCCACCCAGCCTGTTTGGTAGATGGTAATTAATTGACTTGAGGATCGTGTTCAGCCGTGTTCTAAAAGAAGCCTGGGTACAGGCTGCAACAGCATGGCTGTGAAGCTTGTTCCAGACCCCCACAACCCTTTGGGTAAAGAAGTGCCCCCTGTTTTTATAAATGTGCTTCCACATGGTCTCACTACAAGTTCCACTTGTGTCCTCAAGTTGATTTTCACTGTTCATTCCGAAGATCTCCACTCAGCTGACTTTGCGAGTGCCTTGGAGGATTTTAAAGGATTTGTAGGCATCTAGAAAGTCAATTTAGCGGCTTTTCTCAGCATTTGTCATATCCTGTCTGATCCGTGCATCTTGCCTTTTTTTTCCATCTGTTTCAGGAAACTGTGCCCACTACCAGAAGGGTGGATGGTGGTACCACATGTGTGCCCACTCTAACCTGAACGGGGTGTGGTACAGGGGAGGGCACTACCGCAGCCGGTACCAGGATGGGGTCTACTGGGCAGAGTTCCGCGGCGGCTCGTACTCCCTGAAAAAAGTCTCCATGATGATCAAGCCCATTTAATTAGCGGCAGAAGGATCAGAGAGCGCCTTTCGGAACATGACAGCACTAATCCCTAAGCATGATCTAAACCTTGTAAAAATTCACCGTGGCAGAGGAGATGTAGTGACTTTTTTAAATTTTGAACTCCCGATTGTTAGCTTTTTATATTCCCATCTGATTTGAGGGTTGCCAGTTGTGTGTTCTTCATGTCTCCTGGATCACGGATACGAACCGCGAGACCTCACACGGGAGGGAATGAGGAAGTGTAGGCAGGCTGCTCCGACACGCCCGCCTTCAAGCCACTTGTCCTGAAGGCATCACAGGCAGCACAGCCCTGTACCGGAGGATTTACTGATGTTTGGAGGAGGAGGTCATCCCATAACCGTTAGCACCAGTGTCCAGCAAGTGCCCAGGAGGCCGCAGGGGTTGCTGTGTTTGCTGAGAGCCCGGACAATCCTAGATGGCTATTTCTACTCCCTCCTGCTTGGCCAAGTTAACTCTACTGCTCGGGGAATCCCTGTCGCAATCAGCACAGTCAGCTACTGACAAGACCCAGCCTGGAGCCTGCAAAGCCCGGGTTCTATAGCTCGTCCTGTGCTTGGTCGAATCATGAAATCATGATAGAAGCGTGGTAAAGCACACAGAGGGGTCTGGTCTGATGTGACGAAATCTGTACAAAACAGGACAGAAGCATGGAAAAATCACAGGATGGAAGTTAGAATTAGCAGAATTTATCATTATAAACTTTCGGAAATGGTTTCTGTACCTCAGATCCAGAGTGTTTATAAAGCAAGCAGAGCTGGTTACCCGGGGCAGCTGGTGTACAAACCTGTAGTTTGACTATTAACCATTCTTGTCTTAGGATGTATTTAACGTTGAAGGAAAAACATGGTCATAGTTGATTGTGAATACTGCATTTACATTTATATGTACTTCCACTTTAAAAACAAAATTACCTTTATTGCAGTATTTGGTTGGTGGCTGGTTCAATGTTTTTTGTTTTTTTTCGTGCCCGTCCTGCGTTTCTCTTCAAGTAGATCAAACAGTCAGCTCTCTTAACTCAGACTCTGTAGCATCTGTCCTTCTTACAATGAAAAACCACGGAAATGACTTGGCAGGAAGCTGAAAGGCTACAGGTGCCTGTCCTTTCGCTCGGCAATGAGCCCTGCAAGTATTCCCCTGCCACTTCCTGACTCTTGCCAGGACTGGCAGATCGAACCAAGCTGCGCTCTCGGCTGTAGACAGCTGAGACTTACCCCCACCATCCTGAATCCCGATCCTCTGCCTACTTTAATCCTAATCCTTTTCCAGAAGTGCAGTTCACATGGGTGGAGCTGTGTGGACCTTGTTCATCAAATAAAAATTGACACTTCAAGCCAAATAGCACTGTTTTCTGCTTTTGATTCCATGTATTAACTCTTTGTGCAAGGGCTTATAGACATTTCAAGGGAAACTAACCTACAATTTTGATTTAAGATTTGCTGATTATTTTTGGCTCTGCAGGAGTGTTTCAAAGGTGCTTGCTGCAGGAATCGGATTACATCACTGCCTCCGCCCTCCAGCACTGTGATTCCATCAGGCAGCAGGTATTTCTGGGACGAAACCTGCTCCTCTTCCTCCCTCAGATGGAGTGGGAGGGGCCTAGAAGGATGGAGACAGTGATGTAATCCATATCGCGTTTTGCAGAAGCTCCCACAGAGTTTCTGCAAAACAAAAGAACACCGAGTTTTAGCCAGGATTCTCAAATCTTTCCCCATTAAATAAATACTGATGTACTGACCCAGTTTTACCCGTGCACAGTTCGGGATTTTTAAAATTTCCCATGATAGATCTTTGATCAAGAACTAAAAGGAAATAACTCTTTATGAGACAGGCAGATTCTCAAAGTTTCTTGTGTTCCAGAGCCTGAATTGGCTGTGTAGATGCAGAGGTCAGCCCAGACAATGCAGGTGTAGTGCAGATCCACAGTAAAGTCCTTTATCGCTGAAGTGGAGAATTGGAAATTTCCTGGATCCTTCAAGAAATGGCTGGGTGAGACCCTCTAGTCGGTTAACTCGCAACCAAACTGGACCTTAGATGGTTTTGATTGGTTCCTGATCCTGTGCTTGAGCACTTAACTGTTCTGTGTTCCTCAGTATACGTATGGCATGAGAATATCTGTGAAACAATCCTGAGATTACTGCCGAAAAAAGCTTTTTAGTCAAGACTGTGGTTTGCATTGTTGGTACTTCTTGCAGACACTCAAATATTAGGGACTTTTGAAATATTCAGCACACTGTAAATACAGCTGAGGTCACTGCAGCAGAAGCAGCTGACAGTAGTGCAGAGTGAACGCTGGCCGGACCGACCTATTGCAGAGCATGTGCTGTGGAATTGTGTGATCTGGGTTGTGCGTCAGGTGTTTGTTACATTGCGGTGACTTACTGTAAGTACGATTTATTGAGCAGCTAAAACAGGCGAGAGAAAGAGGTGCAGATGGAATGGCGAAACCAAAATGGAAATGCAGGAGAACGAGGGACGACAACCTGTTTCCGTGCCTTTGAAGGACTCGGTGTAGGCCGTTCCGCTGCAGACTGGCTTTCTGGTTGCGGTTTAGACGGCGAGCATTTTCAACATCCTTCAGAGAGGATTTCCTGTGAACACACGACAGCACACGCACCTCATGAGTGAGCGGACTCAGCTCGTCCCGCCATTATTACACGTTCTGCGCTGAAATGGTAAAACCTGAAAAATTTTGTTTTTGAATCCTAATGCTGGTCGCCGCATAGGGAGAGAGCAAGTTGTTTTTATGTTTTTTTTCAACAAAAGCCTGAGATTTACTGTTATGAAGACATGGAAACCAAGATACATCTGCTTATCTGGGTGTTGCTCGTCTTTCAAAGGGGTGAGTAATCCTGTGTGTGTCTACGTACCAGCAGGAGTACTGATTTAAGGTCAGACAAGGGGAAAAAATCTCAGAACAGCATTTTCTCATTAAGGCTTTAATCACTTGGTGGTACCCAGCACACAAGGGGACTACTAATTCTTGAATTGGACAAAGAGTGATAAATTATCAGTATTCCTTCATCTGTACTGTAACTGCGTGGCTATCCTTCAACATGAATGGTTTTTATTCTAATTTCCTGTCTACTTTCAAAGCTTGATTGATTTGGTTTCTTTCGTTTCTTTTCTTGATTATGATATGGGTTGCTGTTATTGATTGTGAGGTTTTCTTACTTTGGCATGTTGTCTTTCCTTCTGAAGTGTCTGGATCCAGGATAGCATTCTCAATTTGTGTAAGCGACCGAGCGGATAAATCAAATATAAAATAATTAATCATAACCCCCAACTTGTAAAAGATCATACCTGAGCGATTATATGATTAGAGGCACACGAGTTCTTGGTTCTCTGGTACAAAGAGCAATAATTCAGGCAGGCCTGGCTAAACAAATATTTACTAACAATATACATACAGCATATTACACATATCATAAACATGCAATACACAAGTTTCCCCTTAGTACAAATTTACAAATAAGGCAACCCAGAGGGCTAGCATTGTGACCACCTACCCCAGAAAAACCCCAGACTCTTACCAAGTATTCTAACTCTTGTATAATACCTACAAAGGCCCAAAGAAGAAACAAGCTGGCTTCTAAATTAACCAGAAAATAATCTGCGGATAAATTTCTCTCTGTAAACCTGGGTGCCGCAAAATGTTAGATATGATAGAAACCTATCTCCTTATTCTGAAATGCGCCTACTCACCATGAGAGGCTGTTTCTGAGGAATTCTTTACGTGGGAAATTAGAGTGCTCCAAAAAACTACAGAGCAGATACTTAGCTCCAATCTGGTCTTTCCCAGTGATCCGGAAAAAAAGAGCTTCCTTTCTCGTCTTCTTCTTCTGTACCAGCCTAATCTTTATATATAGTCTTCATGGAGTCACAACATTTAGATGGAAATCATTAACAATTGTGAAGTGAGGAGTAGGTGAATTAATGATTTACTGCTTTAGCATATTCCAGAGCAATCAATACAATTGGAATTCCCTGAGAAAATACTAAATATTTTGTGTTGGAATGATATGCCTGGGCTTAATTGTTAATATTGGGCAGATTTAAGTTAGCGAGAAGAAATTGCAGTTCAGAGAAACTTAATAAGGCTTGAAGAAAGTTAGTGGGCTGGAATTCTGAATATTTTTACACTTATTAATCATTCATGAGTGAGTGAGAAAATGAATTCATTTAAGATAGAGGAACCCAATACTAAAAGTCACCAATTTTCAACACCCTGGAATACAGTCACTTCAATATAGTTCAACAATCGCCATTAGCTAAGCTACTAAACGAGGGCATGCAGCTCAGAAGCGGGGAAAAAAAAATAGAAAATGAGCCACTTCCCATCTTGACCCTGCCTGAAGCAAATTTCCCCATCACACATTTTCGTGTGAAACACGGCCCAGTGAGATCAAGCAATGTGAATGTGATGTGTGACGATAAATGCCACATCTGCGCATACCCAAACCAAGCCTGTGTTAACAAGTGAGGACTCCACCTTGTTTCCCACGATTATTAATAGATGATTGTTTTTTGTTTTAAAAATGTTGCTCAGTGACAGATGTGGTCTCACAGTTACAATATTGGCCAGAAATGGGCTCCCTTCATTTCAGTGTCTAAATGAACTACAGTACTAGCGAAGTTCTCTCTTTTTCACAGAAACAAGATAACACGAGAGATAACATTTTCTGTTGACGCTGATGCTGGTGTTGCACGTCTCCCGATTTAAAAACTTGATTGGGGTCAATCGGGTAGAGAGATGTAGATCATTTTTACCAACAGTGGTGCAATCAATTAAAAAAGTTGATCAGGAATCACACTTCATCAGAAGAACTGTTCATCTCTTTCCTTTCCAGATTGCCAACAAATTTATGTGGTCCTAATTAGCAAAGTAGGTTGTGTGTTGCATAAGCAGAACTAAGTCAGAACCCAGAAATGTATAAGGAAAACATTGAAGGCTCAGTATGTAAGCTCAACATGCATTATGAATTCTCCAAAACAGGTTGCTAAAAACAGATTGTATTAGAGGAAGAAGCTTGGAGCAATTTTACCTACTCTCTTCAATGCAGCACCATCAGCGACAATCTTATTATTATGGAACAAGTAATAGGTTTATTCCATGCTGAGAAAAAGAAGAAAGAAAACACAAGGTTTCGGCCGTGGAGCCTTCTTCAGGTGTCAGGAGGAATAAACTTATTACTTGTTCCTTTGCAGCCTATGCATGCTGACGCAGCTACCCACCTGAACTACTATCTTATTATTATTGTTTTTATTAAGTATATATCCCTTTTCATCACAGAGGGTCTCAAGACAAAGAGGAGACCCCCTTCATTCACTACTGAAGCTCAGCCCCCACCTGGGTGAACCACAGCAGCCTTAATAACTGTCACTCATGCAAGCTTTCAATGCATGCAAATTACAACTCTTAACGGAACACCTGCCATGGTTCTGCATTGATATTGATGCATTTTCACTATCATCTTTGAGGGTAAATGAAAATAAAAAAGGGCAATGCATTCTCCCCCCGCCCCCCTCCATTCTCTCTCCCTCTGGTCCCATGAGAATGGCCAAGGCAAGGGTTTGTGTGATAAGACTTATTTTTGCACAAGACTCCTTTGTCACTTCAGCTGTATCATTATCTCAGCAGTCAACACCCTCCACACAGAAAAGACTGAAATCCTGAAGGGTCAGAACGATTGAACAGAATTGCAATTCGGAGAAACGTAATAAGGCTGGAGGGAACTTGGTGGGCTGGAATTCTGCATGTTTTTGTACATTAACAGATGTATATTGGAAAGGAGGCTAGTGTCTGATTTATTCAATGCAATAAACGGAGGCAAAATCGTGTCAACACTCACCAGGTTGGCTGATTTTGGGAGTGTTCTTTATAGGACCACTTCTGGGATTTTATGGTGATTATATTTGCCAGGTTTCACTGCAGCTACAAAAATCCATTTCATGAGATCGGGTGGGGCCTGAGAAAGCTTTAGATTCTTGGTTGTCTTCATTTGACACAGCCATGTCACAGTTCACTGGTGGGAAAAACCATGACTGTAGTCAGATGCCTCTTTCCTTAGAAACCTACTTAATTAACAAACAAACCAACTGGATGGTTTAAACAAATGATTAACTGTTCAATTAATGCCCTTATTTTGTATGTGAACTCACAATCTTTGTATGTGTTCCCTTTAATGTTCAGTATGTTTTTGGTAAACTTTTCCTGGGCTGTTCTAATTTTACATTTTTTCATTGTTTGCTTTGGTTGGGACGTGCAGTAGCCTACAGTCCCCAAGTCCCTGACCCACACCTTTGTGTTGTGATAGTGTGTCTGAGTTAACAGCCTTGCCTATAGGCATTTTAACCTTTCCTTCCTTTCCCAGATCTTACTCAGGGAGGGGAATCTATTTCAGCTTCAACAGGTAGGTCACATTCTCTGTCCTTCTTTTGTTTTTTTTAAAGAGATGAAGCTCAGTACTTTAAGCCACAGTCACAGATCAGAGGTTGTTCAGTGGGCCAGTTAAATGACTTCATGTGAGGAATAACATGGACTATTGGCCTAAGGTACCTAATAATAATAATAATAATAATAATAATAATAATAATAATAATAATAATTAATAACCAAAAATATAATCCAATTATTCAAATTTAAGGATTTCCTTGAAAGAAAACTTGTATTTAGTGACTATAATTTTGTGCAATGTGTTTCTTAATTACTTAAGAAAGTAAGGTTGCTCCAGAGTGTCCTGTTGAGATCAGCCCTCAGAGAGCTGTGGTGAGATATGGGGACCCAGTGACAGCGAAGTGCACTACAACACAGACAGCCAGAGGAATAGGCTGGGAGGCTACAGTTGGAGCTACAGGCATGAAAACAGATGTCCAGTCTGTCACCTGGAATGTCAGCAGTCTGACTGATTGGACTGCAGAGCCAAAGTGCTACGGAAACTTCCTTACTGAGCCCAAGCAGTGCGGGAAGAATCTCATCATCATTCTGTACAGTGAGTAGCCTTTTATAATTGATGTATAAGGTAACCCAGTGAGTCAGTGCTTCTTATTAATGTTAAATCCCTCTCTGTCAGGCAGTTCCCATGACTAGAGAGAGAGTATTCACCTGAAAAAGCAAACATTGTTTTGTAAACTGTTTTTTAAGTCTGCTGACTTAAGTGCCCATGAACATTGCTCACACATTACTAAAGGTGACAAGGTAACACATATACAGTATTTGTCTGTACTAGCTTCTTTCGAATCTTTACATGCGTGTTTTTGAATTTTTACTCAAAGCATTGTCTCTTTACCCACAAGGGTTAGGAGAGTATGAAACAAACTACCGAGCTACATTTTTATGCCACTTCTTTCAAGAAACAGATGGATGAGGCGAATCGCTGGAGCAATTAACTACTCAGCATCAAATGGGCTAGATGAGCTACATGGGTCCTCTCTTTTATAACCTTTCTCATGTTCTCACTTCCAGTACTGGTACTGTCTTGCATGGGAGGTTATATACTGTATATATATCTGTAATTGTTATCTCTGCTGGGCTGTGCGGAGCTCAGCTGGTTCTCCCATCACCAAGATGCAGGGTTCAGTTCTTGTCAGCCTCCTGCCTGGTTTGCTCACTTATTCCTGATTCCTTCTCTGACGTGGGTCTCTGTGACACTGCATGGGTTGGTGGGGTGTTGTGGGCTCTTCAAAGCAGCGAGCATTTTATTTACAATGTAGAATGACAAGCTTAGCTCTTGTCAAGCTCATCCTGACATCTCTATTTCCTTACTAAATACACAAGACAGATTTGAACTTTAGACGAACAAAACAGTTTAAAAACTTTGCTGCATCCTGCTAAGGTAAAACCTCCCCTTTCTTTAAAACCTTTATTTTATGATACCTCTGCTTCCTGCTCTTGATTGGTCACTAGTCTATGAGTATGATCTTCACCACGGGCTTCTGGGAGATGTAGTTGAGGCAGAATCTACCATATTTCTGTCTTCAGTGGCACAATAGATCCCTACAGCAGCTAGTAACTGCAATATCTCATATTGTTGTCTTTCTCTTAGACAACACTTTTGTCCATAATGTTGGTGTTCTCAATGCAACATTGGAAGTTTTGTGAAATTAAAATAATCTGAAAAGGGCAAAAGATGGTACTTGTTTAGTTGATACAGATGTTGGTCAAATATAGTACTTTGCAAATGGAGAACAAGCAGAAAGGCTAAACTTACTCCTCCTTCCTTGCGGATATTATATGAAATTACTTGAAATTAAGTGAATGTCAGAAACTATGCCTGCGCTAACATCACAGTGTTAAACAGATCTGTTTTTCCCAAGGAGGGAAAGCACGCTCATTTCTAGTGATTTTCCGTCAGCAGATGATCGAATGAAATCATTGCACTGTTATTCACTGAAATGTCGTCCCCACTGCAGTGATGAGTTTGTCCTCACGTGGACAAACCCAGTTTCGCACGGCAGTCATGATGGCTGCACATATGTTGATAACCTTCAGATATTTCCCATCTGCAGTTTCTGTCTCCTTCAGTCTGGGGCAAGGGAGTGCAGATGTGTGTGAAGACAGGGCGAAGGGAATGGGCAGCACGCTTTGAAATCCCACACGCCAGCTGTGGCCATGAGCACAGTGCCTCTCACTCCTATAGAGGCCATGCCCCTCTCTCTGTGTATGCGTATCTGATGAAGTACAGTATGTAGCTTCTTTTTCATTATTAGTGCTACACTGAATCACAAACACCTAGTTTTCCTTGGCTGCTTTTTAATTTCCATTGCCTGTTACACTACTGTTGTGTTTCGTGTGTTTCCCTTCAGAGTACCCAGACAGTGTCTCTCTCAGCTCTGACAGCCCAGTGGATCAGATGGTGGAGGGGATACAGTACCAGCTGCAGTGTGAGATCAAGAACATCGCTCCTATTCAGAACCTCACTGTGAACTGGTACAGAGGACAGACACTGATTCACAATCAGACCTTTTCTCACAACACTACTAGAACACCTGGGAATGTGTCTGCGACCCTCCTGTTCACCCCTGACAGAGCTGACAATGGACAGCAGCTCACCTGTGAGGCAGAGCTCAACCTGGGACCAGAAGGACCACAGCCCCCCCCTACAAATCAGTCTGATCCTCTCAGCATCACCATGCTGTGTGAGTTTATGTAACCTTATCATTTGCAATTCAGTTATTCTGTTTGGTGTCTGTTTTATTGGTGTTCTGCTATTGGGCACTTTATCAAAAGCATTCTTCTGCATCACTGATATCCCACTAAGTGGTGAAATGTGTTCACTTCAGCTCTAAGCGACTGACTGTCATGTATTCCAATTTAAACAGAAATTAATTTTTCTTGTTCATCAGCTACAGCCAGAACACCGCAGAATTTACAACTAATAAAACTACGCCAGTTCGACAGACTGCTTTAGACTTCGTACAGTGACCAGGACCAGATGACACGATGCTGCTGCTACTGTTTTGTCATATCTTTTCTCTGTAGGAATTTTACTTCGTTGCAGTTAAGGATAATTTGATAGAACTGAATTTTATACTTTTATTCACAGATGAACCTGAGATCACAGGGTGTCCTCTCAGTGTTGATGTGAAGGAGCATCACAGTCTAGAGAGCAGTGTGACCTGTACAGCTGAGGGCAGCCCTCCCCCTAAGACCAGATGGGTCAAGGATGGACAGCAGATTGACCCCTCTGTCAAGCTGAATAGGACTGATGGAGGAGAGTTCACCTATGAAGCTACTAACACACAGGGGTCTGTGAATCACACTGTGACGGTAGAAGTGAGATGTATGTTTTCCTCAGTATGTTTATCTTTTATGTACTATTTTACACACATGCTCAGTATTTATACATACAGTGAACATAATACAGCATGTGTATAAATAAAGAGATGGAGAGAGGGTGATGAGACACATCGATAGACGATATGTAAAGATCAGGCATCCCTTTCAAAGAGAAGATGTAGCCTATGGTGCCTTATTCCATTCTGTTTTTAAAATTAAAACAATTCTCTTAACCAATCATGCTGATCATTATTTTATTTCATATCCACAACCCACACAGACGGCCCTGAGATCACAGGGTGTCCTCTCAGTGTTGATGTGGAGGAGCATCACAGTCTAGAGAGCAGTGTGACCTGTACAGCTGAGGGCAGCCCTCCCCCTGAGACCAGATGGGTCAAGGATGGACAGCAGATTGACCCCTCTGTCAAGCTGACCAGGACTCATGAAGGACAGTTCACCTATGAAGCTACTAACACACAGGGGGCTGTGAATCACACTGTGAACATCTCAGTGATTTGTAAGTACCATCTAAAATATTGTTACAAATGGGGGTTATGAAACCTAGCATAACCTAGACCTAGCAGATTAGTCAATAAAATAAATGATCATAACCCCCAATTTGTAAGCATTTTGCAAGAATATACCCGAGCAGTTGATATAGTTAGAGGCACATTCATTCTTTGTACTCTGGCACAGCTTTGGTGAGAAGAGTAATAATCCAGGCACATTGGGTTAAACAACTGTTTATTAACAATGACAGTGACACACATTACACCACACACAACATAAAGATACAGAACACAAGTCACTGTATTTACAGTCCTACTGCATGTCTAAATCACCCAGAACATCCCAGTTACCAAGTAGTGCTACCAAGTACTTGACTCTTGAATTATGCCTACAGAGGCCAAAGAAGAGATAAGCTGCCGTAATGCAATACAACCTGCAGTTAAATCTCTTCCTCTAACCTGGATTCCACAAAAGAAATAAGAGTCGACTCCCTATTCTAAAATTCACCCACTAGCAGGAGAGGCAGTATTAAACTGAGGGACGTCTCACTCAAAAGAGCTACAGAATTGCAAGTTTCAAAACCTTAGCCCCAGTCAGGTTTTCTTTCAGGAGGATCATGAAGCAGGGGCTCTCACCTGTCTCATGCTACAGGTTCCAACTCCTCCTGACTCCTCTCTCTCTTGGGCTCTGACCTTCCTTCTCTGCCCTTCGCTCTTTTCCTTCTCCTGATCTCACCTTATAGGGTGTGTTTCTGGACTGTTGATCGACACTTAATCATTTACCAAGAACTTTAATAACTAAGTAAACCAACTTAATGATTGCTGTGACCCCCTACATCTCAGCAAACAGCTCTGAAGCTGGAAATGTTTACAATGCCAGGTGTTACACTCTTTGTCTAGAGTCTTAGACACCTCCACTGTCTGCTACCACAGTCCGTACCAACATATATGTCACTGTGTCATGCTGATGGAGTAAAATCAGGCTGCAGAGCTCCTGGGTGGCTCCTGCAGTGAAGTCTTCGATCAAAGTGCAGGACACAGTACATTCTGCAGCCTGGAGATCACAGGTTCAGATCTAGACTGTGCCACTAACACCACGTGGTCAGGTGAACCCAGGACATGCACATGGACAGACTGAAATTCTTCTCCTAACTTAAAACATCTGTTTTCAATTGTTCTGAAACTTTCAGAAACTAATCAACTAATTTTGCTCAACAAATGATATATTTCTGCTGTGTTATCTAACAACAGGTTTCTAAGCATATCACATATTCCACTGGGTCTTTTCTAATCCATTTAATCAACCCACAGATGCCCCTGAGATCACAGGGTGTCCTCTCAGTGTTGATGTGGAGGAGCATCACAGTCTGCAGAGCAGTGTGAACTGTACAACTGAGGGCAGCCCTCCCCCTGAGACCAGATGGGTCAAGGATGGAAAGCAGATTGACCCCTCTGTCAAGCTGACCAGGACTGATGGAGGACAGTTCACCTATGAAGCTACTAACACACAGGGGACCGTGAATCACACCGTGACGGTAAAAGTGAGATGTAAGTTTTCACAGAATATCTAAAAGTTCTTACTGAAGCACTGATCCAGAGACACTGCAGGCTTCACAGCTGCTGAACCGAATATATTCCCTGTTGTGTCAACCAGGAATAAATGTTTCCTCTAAGAACAATTATCTGTTTACCAGTAGAATATCAGTTATTACAGTATGTCCAGGTTAAGCCTTATGTCCTTAACCCACAGATGGCTCAGCTGGAGCTGATGGCCTTTATGGGCTGGTTCCCTAAGCCCTGAGAAGGAGGTGGCAATTTCTTACAGATGAATCAGTCAATCGGACAGCTGAAGACAGGCGACAGTCCAGAGAACTGCAGAATTTAGGACGGGCAGAGAGGCACTTCAGTGATTTGAAATGTCTCAAAAAGCTGTGTTCTCAACCCACAGATGGCCCTGAGATATCATGGTGTCCTCTCTGTGTTGCTGTGGAGGAGCATCGCAGTCTGCAGAGCAGTGTGAACTGTACAGCTGAGGGCAGCCCTCTCCCTCAGACCAGATGGGTCAAGGACGGACAGCAGATTGACCCCTCTGTCAAGCTGACCAGGACTGATGGAGGAGAGTTCACCTATGAAGCTACTAACACACAGGGGACTGTGAATCACACTGTGAACATCTCAGTTCAATGTAAGATTCAGCTTAAAATGCGTTTACTTCTTGCTATATTTTTTTCGCATTGAAACAAATATTACAACTGCAAATTATAGAAAGTAAGACACTCCTCCTATCCCAATTTACCTTTTGTCAGGAGAGCAGCAGAAATAACAAGATATTAACAAAATATGAGAAAAAATAGAAGTATCAAGGAAATTTAAAGAATGCAGGAAAAGGAGAATGGTGGTAAAATAAATGAATGTTGAATTTATATTATAAAAAAGAATAACAAAGTTAGGGAATTCAGTGCATTACTCAGCTTATGTGTCTTTTATTCTCTGGCACATCTTGATAAAGTCATGAGCTGGTGGAGAGCACAAACAGGACAAACAATAAATAATACAATAAATTATATATTGTACAACACACATTTCACAACTGCTATTTAAAAATATTTAGATGCCTGTGAGTTACAGAACCCTGCTTTGAGCTGCTTTCTGAATTAGGAATGCCTTGAAAGGTAGAGAAGGAACATGTCCTATTAAGTAAAAGGATCCAGGACTTAAACTTCTCTCTAATAAAGACGCTTAAAAAACCAATGGGAAGCCATTTCCCCATTCTGGCCAACGCATCACTAACCAAGGAGAGATGTCTTTTAGCCTGAGGCTTCCACAATATTGGAAAGCAGAATTTCCTGAAATAAACATGGCAGCAAACCCCTTTCATAAAGAGTACAGGTTCTCTTCCAGTATTCAGAATACCAGCACAGAATCTGGTTTCAAATCTGCTGAAGTAGGAATACTCTCACAGTGTCCAGTCTTCTACATTACCGCCCACAATGGTGATGCTACCTTCTTTCCATCCAGCCATCCATTGATCTGTCCTGGCTTGAGGCCTGCTTTGTCCCATTAGTCATCCTTATGGAGACGGGCTTAATGACCTCAGTCATAAAAGCACTGCTCACTGTTTCATTTTTGTATTTGAATAAGGCTGATTTAACCGTTTAACAGTGAATTATATTTGTCTGTGTTAACCATTAGCACCCCTCCTTTGATCATCTGTATCTGTCACCATGTTTACTTGCCTCCAGTCCCACGTGCAGCTCTGTAAATGCATAAGACAATAATCATCATATTGAACCTACAGGATAGGTTAGATCTATGGGGGCGTTCATTTAATAAGCCCTCTGTGGTAAGAGTCATTCATTGGAAGGGTAGAAAGCAAGATCCCGTGGTGTGAAGTTGCAGACTCTGAGCTTTTGGGAATCGGTGCCATTTGTGTTGAAAATAAAAATCCCAAATGATCCAAAAGATACCCCGTTCAACATTGTATCCTCCACCCACAGATGGCCCTGAGATCACAGGGTGTCCTCTCAGTGTTGACGTGGAGGAGCATCACAGTCTACAGAGCAGTGTGAACTGTACAGCTGAGGGCAGCCCTCCCCCTGAGACCAGATGGGTCAAGGATGGACAGCAGATTGACCCCTCTGTCAAGCTGACCAGGACTGATGAAGGACAGTTCACCTATGAAGCTACTAACACACAGGGAACCATGAGCAAGAATATATCGATTACAGTTGTATGTAAGTAAGAGCTACTACAAGGCTGTTTTTGAAGTGGGGATGTGAGTTATCTACAGTAGAGTTATATAGTTATTACTCAACAGCACACCCTGTGATTTCCTGTTCCATGCTCTTAATGCTGAGGAGGGCAGTGGCTTGTGGTAACTGACATGGCTGGCACTTCCAGTAAGTCTTTGAGTAAACCACCATGCCCTTAACATAGAGCAACACTTGTGTATCTATTATTATTATTGTTGTTGTTGTTAATGATTTATTTATTTGACTGAAGCCTGTATCGAGACTGGCTTCCAAAATACATGATGTTAAAATACAATGCATCTACAAACTAATATGATAGAACTGTTTCTTAGAACTCATTGAAGAAAGATAAAATGCTGGTGCTTCATATTATGATGCAATGTGTGATGCCATTAAGTGAGAAAAATAATGGAAGAGACGTTGCCGACTCGGCCAGGTACAGCTGGAGCTGATGGTCTTTATGGGCTGGTTCCCTGAGCCCTGAGAAGGAGGCGGCAATTTCTTACAGATGAATCAGTCAATCAGACAGCTGAAGACAGGCGACAGTCCAGAGAAGTGCAGAATTAAGGACAGGCAGAGAGTCGCTTCACTGATTTGAAATGTCACACAAAGCTGTGTTCTCAACCAACAGATGGCCCTGAGATCACAGGGTGTCCTCTCAGTGTTGATGTGGAGGAGCATCACAGTCTGCAGAGCAGTGTGACCTGTACAGCTGAGGGCAGCCCTCCCCCTGAGACCAGATGGGTCAAGGATGGACAGCAGATTGACCCCTCTGTCAAGCTGACCCGGACTCATGGAGGACAGTTCACCTATGAAGCTACTAACACACAGGGGACTGTCAGACACACTGTGAATGTTACAGTACAATGTAAGAATTTCCTTTAAAATCTAATTCCTCAGGATAGACGTGTTACAGACGCTGATGTGATTGCAAGACCTGTTGTCTACATTAGCTGCACCATTCTTAGCTGATATTCTTGAAGAGCTTCTGCAAGGGGCATCATAGTTATGAGAAATGCACTGAGTGCTTTTACCCATGCAGGAAAGAAGTCAGTTGTTTAATGCAGGAAAGAAGTTAATTGTTTTTCTTTGTGAGGAAATATAGTAGGGAGATGAATATTGGTGTTGCACAGTACACTGAAGCCCATTTAAAAACACTTTTTTAAGATTGAGAAAATAGCATGCAAAGAATCTGTAAAGATAAGCAATAAAAACTTGCCCAGTGTGATAAACTCAATATAAGTCTTTTTATGTGGCAGGGGATGAAATACAGATTTGACATGATCATACTTTTTTTCCCCCCCCAGACAAACCAACTTTTGTTTCATTGAATAAAACCCATCTCTTTGCCAGCGGAGAAACAGTCATTTTAACATGCAGAGCTGAAGGCAGCCCATCCCCTCAATACCACTGGAATTATTCCAGAGGTCCTGACATAAAGACCATGACCACAGACAGCAAGTCTGAGATCACCATCGCTGCCGCCTCAGTTGGAGATGGTGGTCAGTACAAGTGCATCGCTACAAATTCTCTTGGGCAGGCGGTCAAGATATTCACCGTGATAGTGGAGGAGCAGGGTAAGGTGTTCAACATCTCCTTATAAAAACACAGTAACAGTGTGTTTGTACCTGTGTGATTCATTGGCTTCATTTTATCATTTTCCGCATCATTGTTTGCCAGATCCCTGCTTTGTTTTCTGTGTTTTACCATACTGTACTTTACTGG